CAGCCTTCACTCTATTTCATGGGTGTAAACAGACCAAGATGGTGTTCAAATTAAACTGCACAACCTCAGACACCGACTGAGCATTTGCTCGCATTTACCTCCATCCAGCTTCCTTGTCTGTCATTGAGGAAGAGCATTCCCTCAGCATGATGCTGCCTCAAACAGATTCTGACGTGTTCAGAGTGAAGTGTGACTTATTATCTAGTTATTACCTTCTTGTTCTGCTCTTACACAAGCAGCGGATAATAGTGATTATCACACACATCAGGAGTGTATTTTATCACCGTGACCACTGGAAGGGAAGTGGTGAAGGGGAAATGGGTACTTTTCCAAGACTCTGCTTACTGCTGGTTGAGGTTATGAAGAGATGAGAATGGGTGGCTCTAATGTAGCTTCACTAAAGGTTAGATGCGTAATTCTAAGTCTTCAATGGTCGTCTGCCCCTCAGGGCCTCCTTGTGGTCCCATCTGCAGCAACGAGAGAGTGGAGAGTCTTTTGAATGAGGTCAAACCTGAGATCCAGACCCTGAAGGAGAAGCTGAACACAGTCAGTCTGTTTTTCCTTTATTCCTACAGCTTTACTCTGTGGCTGCCTTCTATGTTTTATATGATATTTAAGTGTTAATTGATGTCCTATGGTGGGATTTGACTTGTTTGTCTTTTCCTGTCAGGTTTCCATGTGGGTCCAACTTCAGATTCCCAGAATCGAGGATGGTAACAACTTTGGAGTGGCTGTACAGGTCGGTAACTAATGATGGAAAGGTGAAATCACCATCTTACCTTAAAGTAGGTTTGTTCTGTGGACGCTGAGTTTTAAACGTTCGATCTGGTCTAACAGGAGAAAGTGTTTGAGCTGCTGACCAACACGCGCACCAAGATCGAGGCGTTCCAGACCCAGATTTCTAAGTAAGCTCCAGCTGTGTGGCGGGTTTTAGTTTTGGCATGTGATCAGAAGAATCCCATGTGATCATTTCTGTCTCTGGGCTTTTTCTTTCCTGTCAGTTCTGTGTGTGGAGCTGCTATCGTTTCAGACGAAGCACAGAAACCACAACAAGAACTCTGTCTGTGTCTAATTAGATGCATTTCTGTTTCCTCAGCTTTCATTTAGAAACACTCATTAGGTTTGTAAATCCACAGATATAAACATGATTAAAATAGAAGTGCCTCAGTTTGATGCTCTATAGCCAACTTTATAAAAGAGTATTCAGAAAACAACAATAACCTGCTACTTTTGTTTTAATTTTGATATATAATCTTCAGCAAATGTATAAAATAAAAATTATAGCTGAATAGATAACAGTCTAAAACTAAGGTAAACATACCAACTTCTAATTGTAGAACTGTTTAAACCTAAATAAATATCTGCTGCATTCAGTTTTATTGATAGTTTTTAGGTCTTATTTTATGGAATATTAGATCTTTTTTTCTATCATAGTTTTTAATGCTGAATTTAGATAAAGCGAGCTAGTATGGAGGATTAAGGGGAACAAAATTGAATCAATATAGCATTAAACAAACAGGGGTAAATGTATATTTAAATAAATATATCATTAAATAATTAAATGTGCTATTTATTTATGAATTGTTAAATAATGAAATCTGTTAAGAAATGTATCTCTTAAATTATGACATTAGCTATTTTTAAATATAAATGTATTAACTTTTGCATTTTATTTCAGTATCTCTTTAATTTATCTGCACAGTAGCTCAAGACCTTATTTTAACTGTCAACTTCACCCATCAAACTTACAACTTCCATTCAAACTGAAGCAGCCCTAGTCCCGCCTCCCCCACTATGATGAATGGGTGAGAGTTAAAATTAACTCATGGAGCACTTTAGTACAGGAACATAAAATAATAATTGATTCACTTCTTCAAATTTAATTAATATATAATTTGAGTAATTATATATTCAGAAAATAAACTATACTTATTTTCAGTTTTATAAATTAATTTACATAAAATGTGCAGTAGGAGATCTTTTCTGACACATTTTTTTTACCATGTGGCTTAGAGATCTCCCCACAGCTGCATAGCAAGCAGTGAAAGAGAAGGTCTGGAAGAGAAACTAAAATAAATGGTCCCCGCTACAGTAAGAATTCAATGAGTAACGTCCACCAATCACAAAACACGGTCCGTGGTTCACGATTGGTTGCTGACACGTCAATCATGGTCGTCTTCTCCCTCCCCCCTGTGCGCGTACCCTTACACATGAATGAATCGACCTCGTGGCGTCCTGCTCGTGCAGGACATGGCTGGAAGCTAGTCACTGTTATGCTACGTTCACAAGAGCAGCAAAAAAGAAAAATTGCGTCCTGCTTCATTTTTTATGCTTGTACAAGTTTAGTTCTGATGCGCGGCTGAAGCATCTCTGTTACTCTAGCTGTGCGGTGGGCAGAGCTACCCTATCCTTTCTTTGCCTGTAACAATGGCAGCTATATTTACTGTGATCAGTGAGTAAAAAGTAGTTTGAATTTATTTTGAAGTGAGAAAGTCCACCTGAAAACATGGTCAGTGCAGTCAGTTCATCCAGATTACAATCCTGCCTTCAAATCAGACCCCCGTACACCGGCGGTGCGCTGTCACTAGGAATCCCATTCAACAACAGCCTATGGCCCGGTCGCCTCTTCGCAGTTTGCCGCGGCGGCTGGAAGGCGGTTTTCATGTACGCAATCCAAACTGCAGGCACCAGGATGATAAAAGTGAACATTTTGCCGGCAGATTTCGACTGTTTCACAGGAGTGAGCACTCTGCATCATCAGTGCTGCCTGTCTCCCTGCCAGCTCCCAGATCAGAGACGCGCTGCTCCTGATGCTTTAGATGCGCTGCTCCTGATACTCTAGATGCGCTGCTCCTGATACTCTAGACGCGCTGCTCCTGCTGCTCTATATTAGCTGCTCCTGATGCTCTAGACGCGCTGCTCCTGCTGCTCTAGACGCGCTGCTCCTGCTGCTCTAGATGCGCTGCTCCTGCTGCTCTAGATGCGCTGCTCCTGCTGCTCTAGATGCGCTGCTCCTGCTGCTCTAGACGCGCTGCTCGTGCTGCTCTAGACGCGCTGCTCGTGCTGCTCTAGACGCGCTGCTCGTGCTGCTCTAGATGCGCTGCTCCTGATACTCTAGACGCGCTGCTCCTGCTGCTCTATATGAGCTGCTCCTGCTGCTCTAGACACGCTGCTCGTGCTGCTCTAGATGCGCTGCTCCTGATACTCTAGACGCGCTGCTCCTGCTGCTCTATATGAGCTGCTCCTGATGCTCTAGACGCGCTGCTCCTGCTGCTCTAGATGCGCTGCTCCTGCTGCTCTAGATGCGCTGCTCCTGCTGCTCTAGATGCGCTGCTCTAGATGCGCTGCTCCTGATGCTCTAGACGCGCTGCTCCTGCTGCTCTATATGAGCTGCGGGACCTTTTGCTGCACCGTGTTGCGCTTCAACCATTGACTTTGCATGTAAACTAGCTGCTTTTGCTGCCTCTGCTGCTTGTGGTGTGAACGTAGCATTATGGTGTTGTTAGCTCGTGTCACGAGCACTCGGTCTTGGCTTGTTTGGTTCTTGATCTGATCCGAACACCTCAACAGACAGCTTGCGCGTTCATGTGTTTTGAAGGCATGGTATCGAGGGGTGGTCTAAAGGGAGAGGCATGGTTGGAACCGTTTTTCCAAAATTTCCTACGGCACCTTTAAATAATTATGTTATAAGTTAATTATTTAATGTATTGTGGCACCTTCACCCTCCATAAGCCAATACTAGTAGTTTGATTATTTAAGTCGTCTGCTGCTAAATCCTCATACCTGTAGTGTAGGAACAGTTCCTCTGTAAAGAGAGATAAGTGTATTAGTCCCTCCTGTGTACGGCTGGTGAAAAATGCAGGAATTGCTGCAGCATTCTAAGCTTTTTAGCTGTTTTTAAATAATAAACTTTTTTTTTTAAACGCTAGAATTCTTTTTTTTTTTATATTGAATACATAAGAACAATCTTACGGAGCCCCTCTGATGACATGGTCAAAAAAATTGTTTTATTGTGGCCACGAAGTAGTATTTTGTGGGCACGAAGTAGTATTTCGTGGCTACGCAATAAGTTTAACGTGCGCACGAAATACTTATTAATAATATTAATATAATTCCTGGACAACTGGGTAAGCAAATCGAGCGTGCCTTCTCTAAGGTCTAAGGCACGCTCGATTTGCTTACCCAGTCGGTCTCCGCCAGTCACGTGACATTTGTTGCTAAGACGCCATTTTAGGTGGAAAAGGCGTAGTGTAAACAACCGCAGCATAGCTAAACGAAGGACTAAAGGCCCGTTTACATAGCAGCCTGACCAAGATAAGTCATTACAGTTAACATAAGCCTGAAAACAGGGGCGGATTTATTGATATTATTGATAAGTATTTCGTGCGCACGTTATACTTATTGCGTGGCCTCGAAATACTACTTCGTGCGCACGAAATACTACTTCGTGGCCACAATTAAAAAATTTTTTTGACCATGTTATCAGAGGGGCTCCGTACAATCTTGATGCTGCACAGTCCAAAGTCAGTTTCCTGATATGTTTATACGAAGCAAGCTAATGAAGCGCATTCTGGTTCTGGTAACCAGCAGCGCTTGTGGCTTTTGAAACAAACCTCTGAAGCTAATTCTGAAAGCAGAGAATCTACACTTAAAAAAAAAAATCAAATCTAGATAAGTCTTTTATTTCTTAAAATAAGTGCATTTGTTCTTGGATTGAGGAGGTAAAATACACATTTTGTCAATGGAACAAGATTATTTACACTTAAAATAAACACAATTTCATTGTCATATTTTAAGAGCATATTATCTAATTATGAGTAGAAATACTAATTCCATTAGCAAACTATCTAATTTACCTACTAAAAATTAAGCTCCAGTGGAGCGTGAAGCTGTTGTTGTAGAAAATAATAGAAAATAAAAGTTTTCTGTGTTAAGAAGATGTTACACTTTGGTGGACAAACTACACTAAAGGACAGAAAATGTAGATCAGAGATGTTTTGTTGTTTTTTTAAGAGTAAAAGTTTATTATCCTCTGTTCTTTGCTGTGGCAGGTATTACAGTGAGAGAGGCGATGCCGTGGCCAAGGCCTCCAAACAGCCCCATGTGGTCAGTATCTGTTTATCTGCATCATTAAGGTTTTAAGAGTAGCACATTATTTGTTTTCTATCCTGTCATGTTCCGACCAGAAACCCTATTGCTTCCTTAGGACCAAATGTGATAGAAATGACTGGAAAATATGTAGTTTTAACTTTTGTATTTATTTTTTTTAACAAATCTGTAAAGCGTGGTGCGGATTTCCCATTGATCTACTCCCTTACTCATGAATTAAATTTTTCTGTGAAGTCCTCTGAGCAGCAACATGAAGAGCAGAGAACAAAGCAGGCGGGTCAGGAGGAACGTTGAGGATAATATTAAAGCAAAGTTACAGCTTAACTGACATGCGGGACAATAAGAGCAGGGAACAGGGAGCTGCAGGTGGAAGAATGCGTTGACGGGACAGACAAACAGGAAAAGGTGTTGATGATTAAAAGACGCTGACCTTTTAACAATATACCATAAAACAAAAAACTTTTCAGATTCATTTTTTTTATGTTACCTCAGATGTCTGAACATGGCTGTAAATCAGGCTGGTTTTGTTTCAGCACCCCTTCCATCTGCATGCACAACTGTTTTCTTCTTTTTTTTATTCTAACCTGACCGCCTCTTTGTGCTGCAGGGAGACTACAGACAGCTGGTACATGAACTGGACCAGTATCAGTACAGCGAGCTTCGTCTGGTGGTCTTGGACATCCGCTACACATACGTAAGACCCCCCCCACCTTATCTGTGTGATTAAAAAAGGCTGAGTGGACGCTGTAAATCAAATGCATTAGACAGGAAGCACCAGCTGCTGTGTTTTGGACGGGATGTCCAGCATGTAAATGGCGTCCAAGCAGAGAGACGTCGGTGAAGTGGTTTCCATTTGTTGTTAATAGCGAGGCAATTAAACTAATTGCTGCGCTCGTGCTGGATTAATGAGTCCTCCATGTTCTGTCCATTAACCCTTGCTTCTCGTCCCCTCGGTCATTGTCTTCCTGCGTTTGATGCTGGTGATAAAGGAGGCTGTGATAAAAGGGACTGATGAACCTGACCACAGCTCCCTGTGTCTCATGTCTGGGTGATTTCATCCTGTAATGTCGACTCTTTCTCTCTCTCTCTGCAGGCTGTGCTGTTTGACATCATTAACAAGAACTATGACAAGATTAAAAAGCCCAGAGGAGACGGGAAGGCTCTCATCTACTGAGTCGGGCGACTGGCTTCTTTTTTTTATCTTAAAACAAGCGACTGCTACTGTTGTATAACACTGATTAAGTTCCAAAATACATGTCCTGACAGAAATTAGCTTGTTCTCTCCAAGTGATGCATGCATTTTTGTTTCAGATTACAAAAATAAAGCAACAAGAATCTCCGTAGTCTGCTGTGTTTAATTTTAAAACCCTTAAACTAGTTTGAGTGTTTATCAGAGTCCGCGCCGCTAAAAAGGCCGTCTCCTGGTAAACCGGGGGACCAGTGACTGGGTGCCAGGCGGTACCATCCCTGATAAAGGCCCCTCCACCCTAGGTAGCCTAGAGCTCCTCCCAGCTGCTGAGAAGGCCATGCAGGGAAGTATGCAAGCATGCACAGAAGCAAGACCATCCAGATAAAGAGCAGAACCACACACAGAAGGAAGAGGACTCTCAGGGGAGCGCTAGGCGGCCTGTGAAGACGCTTCTCGTGTTCCAGGTGACGACCAAAGACGGAGAGCTCCTCCACAATCAGCAGGCAGCACAGGCAGAGGATGAGCGTTTCCTGGGAAACCTCGTAGCCTCTCCACGTCATGTTGGCTTTGAGGCAGGAGGCCTTGGTTTGATCCTCATGTAGGAGCAACAGAGGCTGAGCGGGGATGGAGGAGCTCTGGCCGTCCTGCACAGGGGCCAGAGGTTCATAGCAGGCCCCGGCCGCGTCCTCCAGCAGGGTCACAAGGCGCCGACAGCCCCACCACAGCACACCCGAGAGCGCCATCCGAGAGAGGTGGCGAAGGGTGATGGAGATGGAGCGGCAGGCCGAGAAGGAGAGGAGGACGACGAAGGAGCCTGTGAGGACGAAGGTCCAACCCCAGGTAGACCTGAGGAACTTCCTGTAAGAGGGAGGTGAACCAGAACCGTTAGGGGAGAAGGTATCGATCAAAACCCTGAAAAGGATCAATGGATTGATTTCAAAACGCATGAGAGGAAAAATCTGTTCTGGTTCGATCTAAAAAAACTGATTCAGAACCAAACCGAGATCATTAAGCAATTTTATATGAGCAGTGGGAAGTTTGACTGAGTTTTCTTAATGTAATTATTGTTGGTAGGAAGTTAAAATGAATTTTATAAGTGATAATTGAGTTCTCAGGTTTGATTATTTTATGGGATTTATATAATCCACACAAAGTCAGGATTATACAGAGACCTCAAACATTTACAATATATGTCACCCCTTCATGTCCAGGAGGTTTAGGAATAAACTATTAATTTCTGTCCCCAATGAGGAACATTTCACTTCTTTCACTTTCATTTCACCTAACCCTAACTTTTAACTGTGAAAGGGGTCAAGGAAGCAGCTCCTGAACTAAAATCATCTTTTAGCCCGAATGAAATCTGCAGCTGTTAGGATGGACAAACTACTGTAGGTGAAGCTGAAAGTCACAGTTAAAGGTTGGGCATGGGCAACAATAATTTTAAAATTTCATTTTGTCTTTGTTTGATTTAAACAGGTTGGCAAGACAATTTACTGACAAAATAAGATGATTTTAAAATAAGAACACACACCATTATCTTATTTCATATGAATATTATCTAATTAGCTTACAAATATAAATTTCTTTGGCATAACATCTTATTTGCATGCTCAGTTGAAGGACAAACATGTTTATTTCAAGAAATTACTTATTTTTGTTTTTTGGAAGTAATGTAGCGATAATTTATCATATCTTTACTTAAGTAAAGGCATAAAATATATATATATATATATATATATTTTTTTTTTTTACTCAAGTAAATGTAACTGAATAAATATAACTAGTTGGTACCCACCTATGGTTTGACTAGAAATGTTATTTTGACCAGAAAAAAAATCATTTTTAAGTGGTCTTTTAATAAATGTCAAAACTGCATGCCATAGCAGCTCCAATTCATACAGACTTAACTTGAGCAGCAATCTTCTCCTACGCCATCTTCCACTCCTCTGCAGCTGTAGCCCTGTTTTAAAGACATTATACTTTTTTTTTTTTTCTGCTTTAAAATCTCTAGTTTCAGTGGGGTAAAATTGACACTTCCTGTTTCCTGTTGTCATGGTGACTTGTCAAATCGGGGCTCATCAGAGCTGATGAAACTAACTCACTGGCAGCAATTATGAACCCGATAACTCAGAGTTTCCACCCTGAGTCTAGAGGAAACCCCTTTTTCTTATGTTTGTGTCTATTTTATTCTGTTGCTGGATGATCCGAGGTGAACGAGCATTCATGACCCAAAGAAATCTACATTGTTTCTGTCAGTCCACCAAGTGCTGCACATGTTCTCTTCAGGTTATTTGATGTGTTGCTTGGTATATTGTAACCTCTCCTACCTTGGTAATTTGAGTCTTGGAGAATATTAGCAGTTTTATGACCCACAGAATGCTCGTTTTTCTTTTTCATATAATTCTGTTTTTTTGGTTCTCATTTCGTGTTATCCTAGATCATTTCACTTGAGCAGCCTGTTATTTTCTGTGCTTCCTGTTATCATTTCCTCTTTTCAGGACAATCAGAGCAGAGTTTTCCTGAGAAGTGTCTAAAAAAGTGTCTACTTTTCCTTTCCTTATTCTAAAAACATGCCCAACTCCATTACTAAGCTTAAAAGCCAGGTCCTTCCTATGAAACCAACAATTTAAATAAAGATAAGCGCACAATATGCAAATTATTCATTTCCATTAATAAATCATCATTTTAGTTTAATGTTTTATAAACACCTGTGTAAAGACTTGTTTGATTTTTCAAATTGCTGTCCATTTCCTCAAACCTCATGCATGCTCTGCCTTTCATGTTCAGTCTACATAAATCCCTCTCACCTGTACAGGTAGTGGTTGCCGTTAGCGAAGATGCTGTATTTGGAAACCCAGAAACTCAGCAGAGGTCCAAAGAGGACCAGTCCTGACAGCAGGAGGTGGAGGTGCCTTCGGACCAGGCTGCATCCTAAGATCCAGGCCAGGAGGCTGCTGATGAACTCCAGAACAGCATTCAGAGGCCTGAGGAGGAATCTGCCGGGGAGAATCAGCTCTGCCGCTATCTTTTGCAGCTTCTCCAAGTTGATCTCCGCTGTGAGGCTTTTGGAGGAGTTTTCACTCATTGGATCCATAGAAATTGAAGCCGTTGATCTGATTTATTTGTTGTTTAACAAGCTGGAGGGCTGTTGTCTATGAAAGGCCAGTCCCTCTTTGTGGCTGCCAGGCACGCAGCAGACCACATGCTATATAAAAATACAACACCTCTGCCCCCTTCACCCTTAAAATCCCCCACCCCCATATCAACAGACTGTAAGAGGAGACTAATAATGCACGCTGCTGCAAACGATCCCATTATTTTTTCCAAGCTGCTACAAACACTTTTTTTTTTTCAGTGTGTCTGCATTTCAGAAAACTAAACAGACTCCTTGGTTGCCAGGCGAACTCTTATTTTTTATTGCTGCCATCAAGTTTAAAAGAATTGCTTTGACCCAGATGACCTGTTTTTTTCTTGCTTCTCCTCTTCCTTTTTTTCTTCTTTTTCACCTAAATAGATTTAGCTTTTAGAGGCAAAGCTAAACTGTTGCAATCCTGCAGTCGGTCCAAACTAACGGCTGCCTTCTCACAATGTTATCAGCCTTTTTATTTCCAAGCAAGGTCATCAGGCCAGAGCCCATTTTAAGCTCCTTTCACTCTGAGATCCTTGAGCTAAAATAGGGTCAGCCAGCCCTGCTCTTCCCTTAGACTTTACAGATTCATTCTTTGATACCTGAACACATTTCAGACCTTTAACGTTAAACTAGAGATGGTGGGATTTTATACGAATCAGATTTATTCATGCAGGAACATAGTAGAGATGAATCAGACCCAGCAAAAGAATCTAAGGCTAATTTTAGTGCGTTGGCAGCATTGCTGTCTCTACAGCGCCCTTCAGACCTCTTTGCTGTGGTTCCTGCAGTGGCTAATTGTCTGCTCTTCTAGCAGCTCTAGGTGTAAAAGTAGTAATCAGTCCAATAATTAGACTTTTAGCACACGGAAACTTCAGAATAAATGTTCACATCCTGACACATCTTAACCAGTTTTAAAGTTTAATTAGATTTTAGGATTATGTAGTCCTTTTTTAAGTTTTACAATAAATATATTCAACGTTTTCCAGGCCAAGGACCTGAAACTGATGGTGAGATGAAGCTGGGACCCCCTAATTATATATATTGTATGAAATTGTCTTATATCAGACTGGTCCTATAGTCACTCTATTATAGATAGAGTAATGTAATGAAAGTAATTTCTCCCTGGGATTATTAAAGTATTTCTGATTCTGATTCCTGGTTGATGGGACAGGTGTTGTTAATGAAACGGTGCCCAGCTTGAAAGAGCTCCTGTGTGTCGCTGAATGTGTGCATTGATGACTAAAAGACATCTGCCTCCATTTATCTGTTTACTACAGTGTGTTGAATTCATGTTAATGTGGATTTAAAGACATTTCAATTTCAATCAGTGGAAAAAAAGTCTAATCAACCAAAACCTCCGCAGACCCCCTGTCGAAGACTTCCGCATTAAATAAACATATTTTAGGTTGTTTGGTCAAAACAGAAAATACATTCGTTCAATTTTCAAATACACCTTACTAAATAACCCAGAATACTGCTGTCAGGTTCTGTGTATCTTTATAAATGGCTTCCCATACTAGAGCTAATCTTAATGTTGGATTACTATTGGCTCTAGAATATGATTTTGACATGTGTTGAACGGTAAGTCTGTTAGTTTGTTAAAAGATCAGAAAACAAAACCTAAAACTGATGCAGAGACGATAACTGATGTTGACACTGATTAGAGGATGAAGGCCCAGAAGCTGCTTTACATACTAGCAAGGTTTTTAGAAACTTTCAGCTCAAGTTTGACAGGAAAAGTTTCCCCTAGGAGCAACAGAGGAAAGGATCATCTGACAGAAAAACAGCTTTTCTTTTGTCGAGCTTTGATGCTTCCCTCTGCTTGCAAAGACACCCTGGGTTAAGAGCCATATCTATTTAAAAAAAAAATAATCCCTGATAAGTTGAATGTCATAACACGCAAGAAACTACTAATAAATGTTTTTATTTTCTTGGACATTTTTATTTAGTTTTTTTCAGCTAGAGATTAAGAAACAGCTGTACATGCTAGCAGTGCTATGGAGGCCCACCTCTTTTATTTTATTTTTAAGTGGCAATTAATTGTATGCTTATTTATTTTTGGACCATTTATCCAGTTCTGTATTTATTTTTTAATTATGGTAGCATTGGTCCTCCATACAGTGCTAGTTGCTAACACTTTTCTGTGCAGATAATAAAATCACAGCAGCAATCAGTCCTACTTCAAAAGGTTAATTAGACCTTCCTTTTACTGTAGGAATTACATGTTTTTTTGACATCTGTAATAAAATTTTATGACATTTTAGTTTTTTTTGTTTTACTTGTAGAGATTTATCAGAACTAAATGAAAATAAAATAATAAAGGCATATTTTTCCAGTTATTTTATTAAAAAAAAAACTAAAATCTCATGATATGAAACAATGATTTTACACATTAAGTCAAATTTGTTTTGAGGAACAAATTTTTACCTGATAAATAAATCATTTGAAAAAGTATAGTTTAAAGAGTTTGTTTCATCAAAACATTTTACTTAAGTCTATAAAAAGGTAAAATTAGGTTATTTTACTGTTTGTTAACCTAGAGTTATAATTATAATTTTTATACAATGTGAATGTTTTAGAACATAGTAACGCACTTTTTATAGCATCAAATATTATAAAACTAAGACTTAGACATAACATTAAAAAATGTTATGTTTAGAGGTAGTGAGAGACTATTGCTAATTAAGTTTTTAAATCTTAAATTTAAGTGATAGAAACCACAGGATGAAGAATGATCTCAGAGAATATATAGAATATATTTTTTGGCACTTGTCTTCAATATTTAAGGTGTAAGACTCTGAAAATCAATTTTGGAATAATTGAAAAGGGAATTTTTACAAGAATTTTTATTCCTTCTGCTTGATTTTCACTCGTGTTCATTAAAAAACCTGATTCATTTGCTAATTAATGTCAAAATTGTGAAATCAAGTGAATAAACTAAATTGAAGCAAATATGTTAAATTTTATGCTTTAGTCGGAATGTTTTGTTCGAAAAAAAACAGCTTAAAAACTTTACATTTCTTCATTCCTGCTTAGGAACCACAGAGCAACACATTAAACACCAAAGGAGGCGGTTTTAGTGATACAATTAAAGAAAAGTCTTTTTTATTGTCACTGTAAAACATCTGTCTCAAAGTGACACTTGAATAAGTTTATAAACACCTGAAAATGTCATATACAGATGAGATTGTAAGATATTTACCATGAGAACATCCCCTGTTCATGTTTCTACCCAAGATCACACACATTTAAACCTTTGAGACACGTCACGGGTTATCCTGCCTGACAAAAATCACTCTTAAAGAAGAAGAAAGTGTGGAAAATTGTTTCTTTTTTCCAGTTTCCATCTGTTGATGACATCCAAGCGGCCATCTTGGACCATCTGATTATACTGAGAACCTTGAAAATAAAGATCTGGGGTTTAGGAGGAGAAAGATTAAGGTTTAACCTTTGTTACCGATAAAAGCAAAATGAATACTGAGGCAAAGTCAGCACAGCATCTATCAAAGCTCCCTCCAAAGCACATTTCATTAAAATACTTTACATGTAGACACAATCACCCCCCCTAGAATAACCACAGCATCTAGCTTATCATTACATCTTAATTTCTGTCTGGCTGCTGAATAAAGAGTCGGCCTCTTTATTCTGAACAAAACAAGACAAACGGGGAGTTTGGTTGTTCCTTTGTGCTCAAATCTGCTATTAACCCGGTGAGGTCATAAAGGCGTTCAGAAAAGACACTTCACAGCTATGCTTGCGATTATTAATATCCAGCATTGAATTAAAAGGGTGGTGGCGTCTGTGACAGTCCATCTGAGCTTCCAAACTCCCAGCGGCCCCCGTTTCAGTGGCATCTTCCGTCTCCTCCTTCATCCCTCTTCTCCGTCCATATGTCAATCTCTCTCTCCCGCTCCTCCTCCAGTGGATGGGTTTGTCTGTGCTCCCACATCCGCACCGCTCCGTCCCACTGTGGACACACAGAGTAAAGTTAAAATTCTGAGAAAAAAGTCAGAATTCTGAGAAAAAAAGTCAGAATTCTCAGATTAAAGTCAGAATTCTATATGTTTGTAACTGTTGCTAAAAAAATTTATTTTTTCAAATTCCTGTAAAAAGCCCTTTATATTATTAAATTAAAAATAAAAACTTAAGACAGCTTAATGCGTAAACTGAAATAGGAATTTTCAAATAAACTTTAAAACCATGTTTAATCAATTTTAACATTCAATGACTGTATTAAAAGTCTATAAAAGTTATTTTTGCTTGTTTTTTTGCTCCAATTGAAAGAAGTCAATAAGATTTAATTAGTACCCGCAGGTCATCAGCAGAATGTCAAAATAAAAAATTATGGCTTTTGAGTTTCTGTTACATGTTTCTAAAATATCCCCTTAAAATTAAGCCTTTTTATTTTTATTTTGTTAGTTTAGACGACCTAGTTTGAGAAAAAAGGGGTTAAACAGCAGCCTGAGCTTTGCTCCAAGTTTATTTAATACCTATAAAATAAAAAGACTGCCAATAGCTTTGACAATTAATAAGTGTGAAAGATGCCTGGTTATAATATATTTATTATTCTGTTATAAATCCTTTTGTCTTTGGCCTCCTCATAAAGATATAATGACTTCCTTCGTGTTATTCTGGTTGTTGCTATTGTAATCATTATAGCAGTTGCTTGAGTTGGCACTGGGAAACCAGGCAGCTGACCAAGGGGGTATCTTTTTTTCCATAACTCACAGTCTGCTGCACAGCAAATAAAAAAAAAGGCATCAAAAATTGACTGTGTTTACCATAATCTATGCAGACTGAGCAGAGGATGACAGGCAGTGGTGATAGAAGTGGGTATGCACTATATGCAGCGCCATGCTACAGAGGGACGATGGCTTCTGTTTGCAAAAGCTGTTTGACCTCGTGAAAACATCAGCAAGAGAAAAACATCACTGAACTAACTTTGTCTTTAATGCCGAAATAAGAAGGATTTTTTCTGTACAAGCATGAACTCCCATAAGGCAAAACTAATATATATATATATATATATATATATATATATATATATATATATATATATATATATATATATATATATATATATATATATATATATATATATATATATATATATATATATATATATATATATATATATATATATATATATATATATATATATATATATATATATATATATATATATATATATATATACTAGTCTGTGGTAAAGAGCTGGTTCACATCATTTTTATTTATTAATTTTTTTTAATGGTACTACTGGCTCGATTTTTACGAGAGAAGGGGAGAGACATGCGGTAACGGACCACAGGTCGGATTCTAAACCAGGTCGGCCACATCGAGGACTAAAGTCTGATTTATACTTCGAAACTAGGGTGTCTACGTCACGGTGAATGCAGAGACGTTCTCGCCCCCTCTGCAGACACTCTGCTTCACCTCTCCCAAATTATAGGCCTCTGATTGGTCAAATCTACATCCGCTTTATCCTATGCGTATCTCCTGTTGGGTACCTTATCGGCTTGTTTTGTTTGTAAGACCGCCATTGCGGAAAACATCTTGTGAAGATGGACCAGCTAGAAGAGTGAGGTGTGAGAGAACGCTGGGACTCACCTGGATCCCCGCTCTTTTTCGCCCCCATATCTCTCCATTTTGGACAAACTTGCCCCCCACTTCCTCACCACCTCGGCCGTATCTAGACCCATAGCTAGTTCGTGATTGTCCCTCTTGCATTGTGGCGTGAAATAACACAGAGCAGACCATGCTTCAATATTGAGCTGCGGGAGTATAACCAGCCCATAAGGCCTCTGTACATGGGTCGTGTGCGCCAACCACTGCCCCATCGAAGCTGCCCCCAGTTAATTTAACTAAACAAAGGATGTTTCCAAGTTCAGAGAAGCTACTTCTGTCTAGGAAGCTAAAAACTCCTACCTTGCGCTGCAAGCTGGATTGTCGCGAGATCGGAGTTTTTAGTCTCACAACAAATTAATCTTGAAAGACACCCGCTAATACGTCCGTCTCGTAACAACCAGCAGCTCGGACCAATGACATGCCAGCAGTGTTTTTTGGGGCGGGACACATAGGAATGACGACAGCAAAAGGGCCTTGCCGGCATCGCAAACATGGCTACGCTGGAATACTCACCAACTATTTCACGTTTAAAAAAGGAGCAAGGAGAAGCACTTTGTGCATTTGTAGATGGGAATTACGTCTGTGCTTTTTTCTGGCAGGATTTGGAAAAGGTTTGATTTATCAGCTTACTCCGCTAGAAGTGAAAACACTCAAGAAGCTGCAGATGAATCCTTTTCTGATGCTACGATTGGTCAAAAGCGATAATGGAAGGGTATTATGGAAGTCCCCCAATCAGCTTGAAGTATTGTACTAAACTTCCTTTTCACGGACTGACTAAACAGCAGCCATCCCAGATTGATAACGTTGAACACAACTCAGTTATACACTTATTAATCTGGCTACTGCCATGTTAAAAAAACTCCACAAGGATCAAATTAATAAACGCAATAATAAACTTTAGAACCGCCCCTGGTTTAAAGTTATGCATGAAGAGAGAAAAGCTCTAATCTACACTTACATGACAGATCTGCTTCCTCTAGAGCACAACTGTCCAGTTCTTAGCCAGCTCTTCAGCGGATCTAGTGAATCCTTTATAATTAAGTCAATTCTGAGTTTTCTAAACTTTTTTTGGATGATAACCGCCTGCTGTCTGGCTGACTGCTGTTCAGAGCGGCTCCCTTAACACTAGGACTCCCAGAATTCTGATCCTGCTAGAACTCCCACCGGCCGTCAATTTGACGGGAGACATTTTTCTCAATGGAACGCATGAGTAGTGATGATGTCATCAACTGAAATTGTTCTAGTGTGGCATATAAACCCATTGTGGATACGTAAACCTTAAAACAGGTCTAATATATATTTTTCAAAGGCTGTATTGCGTGCTATTATTATTATTTGTGTTCTAAATTCATATTAAAAACAAATCCGTAAAGTAAGACCGTTTTACTACACAAGTTCAAAGTTTGAAATTACAATTATATTTACAGAAATTGATTCCCCCCCAAACATTTCACGCAGACCACCTTTTTACATTTATGACAAACGTATTATGAAAATTTTTTGTGCAGCGCAGAAGCTCCTGGCGCTGTTTTCTGCGCCTCGCCAAAGCTGCTCTACTGCGGGGGAGGGGCTGTGTGATTATGGTAGACTACCGGCTCTGGTTTGGCTTTTGGGCCGCTGAGTACCGGCTGAGGTGTGAGCAGAGATTGAACAAAAGTTTTACTATTCTCTGATGGGTCACTGATTCTTGTGCGTTTTCCCCGGCCGTGGTTGATCATCCTCGGACTCGCTCTCAGAATCTGAGCCGCTTCCTCCCCAGTCCTCCTCATCGCTCTCTCCCCCTCCATCTGAATTGCCATCATCAATAATTTGAAGCATTTCTAAAGCCTGTTTCGCTGTTAGATTTCCTCTGAAAGCCATTTTTCCGTATTAGCCAAAGAGTTCTAGGTAGAATGTTGGTTGCTAGGCAACGGTACCAAACATCAATCAACCGTGGGAAGAGTTTACAATGCATCTAATAGAGCTGTCAGAATGACGGCTGTGGGAGATCAAGGTAGAATTAACCATAATTATTTTTTACGTTTTAATTTTATTTGAAAAAATACATAAAAATGAAGGAAATATAGAAACAGAAAAAGTTAGTTAAAATAAGAAACATAAGATTAAATTTTATATATATTTCTTTCCCTTTAAAATCTTAGAACCGTCAGAATGACGGCCTTGGGAGTTCTAGATGTTCTGCTCTATGCAGGATCCTACAGTCGCTAAACTCACAGAGCTGCTGATGATTTTGTCATCATACGGATGCCAGCTGACGTCCCTCACACACGCGTCGTGACCCGACAGCCTGGACACCACCAAGCCAGTCAGCACGTCGTAGACTAGGACACAGAACAGGACACAAATCAGCCTCAGGAGGTCTCTACTCAGATTTTAATGTCAATAGATCAGCGAGCGCACAGAGCTACAACACTCACTGACGATCTTTCCTGTGGAACAGCCGGAGTAGATGAACCTCTGCCCAGTGCTGAACTCCGGAGAGAACCGGCAGCGAATGAGCGTGTGCAGGACGCCGTGGCCGCGGTAGGTCATCACTGAGGTGTCGCCGGCCAGCTTGTGTTTCTTTAGGGCTGCCAATTAAACAGATTAAAAGGTTACATGTGTAAAAAAAACATTTTGAACAGGATCTGAAAATTACATTTTCACTTAATATGCAACACACCAGAATATCATTGAGAAGGTCAGAAGCTGAATTAAAATCATCTAATAAAAGGATTCATTAACCCTAAATGCATCGTTGTAATGTGGCGACATGCAACAAAGTCCTCCATCTTTACGCCCATAAATATATTTCTGTGATAACCATCCATTCCATCTTCTCTTTTAAAGGTATAGTCGAGGATTTTTTTCCCCCTGGGTGAATCATCTAAATAAGTGGTCCGTCTAATAGTCAATCATTCAGCTGATATATTTAGGTAAGGCCGCCATACGTCCTTGCCTAGGTAGCCATCATTTCCTGAGCATGCGCACTTTCAGGCATATATCTGTGGTGAGCTACAGCTTCAGACATTTCTCACGGCGGTTCTTTGAAAATGGCCGAGGGTCGTAAGAGAGAAAAAGTGTCTATAAAGTGCATGAGAAGAAAAGAAGGTCCTCAGAAGAGGCAGACATATCACGGAAGGCTTTGCGTGGAGAGCTCTCCTCACAGAGCATTATCGGATTTGCTGCCACAAGATGGCGCAGGCACCGTGTAGTGGAGTGGACTGGAGTGGGGAGTTATGTAATCAAACCAGGGAGCAAAAAGCAGTGATCATCTGTTCAGTTAACTTTCACTATAAAGTCCACTATATATTCCCCGCTCTATATAGATATTGAGGGATTTAGGGGTTACAGCAGACATTTGGTCACAGTAGGATTGTATGAGCTATGAGAACAGCAACTTTTAAACAGAGCGTGCACAAGGAGAAATAGGCTTGTGCACGCTCTCGCACGTGTTTAATAGGCGTTCCCTCTCGGGAGCGGGTACAGGGTTGTGTGTAGGGGTGTAAATAATAATCGTTTTGTATCGATGCATCGATCCAACAGCCGGCGATCCAATGCATCAACGTGTCCGCAAGAGAATCGATTCATGTTTTGTTTTTTTTTCCCTCCGGTCTATTTTTATCCATTTGCTCCTTGACATAATTCTCCCTCATGTGCTGTGGTGGCGCTAAACCTATTTTGCCCTCCTACCTTGCTTCCTGGTTATACTCTTACAGCAGTGTGTTGTAGTGAGCAGACATTTTTGATTTATGCTCAATATTGAAGCGTGGTCTGTGCTACACGCTGTGGGTCTAGATACGGCCGAGGAGGTGAGGAAGTGGGGGCGAGTTTAGTCCGACGACGGAGGGACATGAGGGCCAAAAAGAGCAGAGATCCAGGTCGAAAAAGGGTCCCAACATTCTCGTGCACCTCGCTCTTCTAGCGGGTCAAACTTCACGAGTTGTTTTCCGCAATTTTGGTAATAAAAACAAACCAAGCCGGCCTCCTGTCTGCAGCACTGTCTGTGGTCAGCTACAATTTGGGAGAGGAGCAGCGGAGCGTTTTTGGAGAGGGGAGGAAACGTCTGGAGCTGAGGTATTGAATTGCACTCATTGAACTGATTTTGTGCAGTATTTTTTGATGCAAGGCCTTTCAGAATCTATAACACAGGGGGATGATTATTTTCAGTGAATGAGGTTCTAATAGGAATAGATGGAGTGCAACTTTTCTACTTCTGTTATTTGCTGTAGTTTCTAAAAAAAAATGCACAACGATATAACAGCTTTCATTGATTTATTTCAAACTTGTCTAGCCTATAAGGTGTTAAAAAATGAAAAATAGTCGAATCATATTGTGGTGTATTCTTGAGTATCAAAAATAATCGAATCGTTGGGTCAGAAAATCATTACTGAATCGAATCGCCAAGTTGGATGTGATTTACACCCCTAGTTGTGTGTGTGCATTTTTTTTTAGTGGAGAGGGCGGGTCTTCTCAATAGTTCACGAAAATCCTCCACTAAACTTTTAACTCAGCTAAGATGTTCCCTTTGGTTCATGAGGAGCTCGCCACATAGAGCCTTTTTTATTCTGGATAGATCAGAGTGGACCGTCAACACTTGGATTTCACGTTAAGCCCGGCGTACACAGTGCGATTTTTTTCAATCGTTGCATGCATCTGCTGCACACACTGTACGACTAAATGCAGGGTTTAGTCGTACAGTGTGAGCTCATAGCTCACGATTAATGTTCGGTCCGACGCTCTCATGCGATCTACCCGCTCACACTGTACGATTAAAAACCACGTCGGACTCAGCTCCGCAGTGAGATGGAGCTGTTCTTTAGCTCTCTTTCCTGAAGCTAAACAAATAGAAGAAGGATATTATGCTCAATATAGTGAACCGCGCTGCCTTGGCAATTTGTGCAATTTTATGCCTGAGGGCCCTAGAAAGAAAGGGCGACGACGTATTTGGAAAAAAGGTAACGGCTGAGCCGGCATGGCTGCTGTGGTCCGTCAATTTTTGCAGATTGAGCTGCATTTCACTCATTGCATCCCTGCCATGCTGCTGTGTTTATAGAAGAATCCTTCTTTGCGCATGCACCCTGAGCGAATTGCCCACGACGGTCGGGAGAAAATCAAAAATGTTTGATATTCTCCCGACCTCACGATTCCTGACCGGGAGGTTTTCGTGAGAGGCTGATCTCCACCTGTAACCCTCTGTATAAAACACGACTCACAGTCAGGCTGAAAGTCGGCCCGACTGAAAGCTTCTCGCATGACTGAAAAATCGCAATGCCGGGCTTTACCCTAGAAGACCTATCATGCTGCTATCTTTTGTTTTAGAGCACCTTTTTTTTTTTCAGCCAAACGTCTTCCTTCCACCCAACTTTCCATTGCTTGCATAAAACACACTGTGACGAGTCAGCTTATTGAGCAATAAGCTTTGTTTTCTACTTCTCTAGTTTAGGAGGTCAATGACTGCCTGCTGGATAAACATCAGAGCCTCACATCATCATCATCATCCTGTCAGTTTTATGCTTTTTTCTATTTTCCCGATTAACCACATTTCCACCTCCCTCTAAATTAATTCATTCTTTAAATATGTTCCTCTGACTGTAATGACTGTTTTGCACAGGTTTTAAATGAATTATTGAATTAAATTAACTGTTAGATGATGCTCTATTTCACTTTAATGAACGCTCTCTCCTCTTCCTCACCTCTCTGGGGAACCTGCTGCCAGCGGTAGTCCCAGTTTTGTTGGGTAACCGCCAGGCGGGATGCAGCTAAACCCTCTTTGGGTGAGAACTTTCGGACGTCCCACAGCTTGATGGACTGGTCCTTGGAGTTGCTGATGAGATAGCGAGCGTCGCCCTGGCATGCAAAGCAGACCCAAGAGAAACTCATCATTTCCCCATCAGAGAAACTCATCATTTCCCCATCAGCTCAGAAGCTTGGGAGAACTTTTTATGATGACAGGTGGACAGAAAGGCAGCAATCTCTCCTTCCAACGCCCACCTTGCTGTGGATGAAGGTGATGCCGTCTCGGTGGCCGGCCAGCTGTCCGACGGGCTGCGGCCTGTCCTCTCGCAGAGTCCGTCTGTCCCACACCTTGCACAGAGCGTCGTCACTGCCAGAAAAGAGCAGCTGGGACGAGCTGTCGGCGAACGCCACCGCGTTCACGTCGTCCTCGTGGGCATCGATCTAAAGGGAGGGGATGGTAGAGGAGAGAGTAAGGGATTCTGAGAGGAGTGTGGGCGAAAAATGAAGCGCAGGCACACAAAAAAAATCAACGTAGACGGTGATGGAGCAGATGGTGGCGGGTGGGGTCAGGTACTGACTGCTGCACAGACTGAAGCTGTGGGAGGAGGAGGGAGCGTGGTTCTAATGCTGCCCTGAATAGAAAAGGAAGGAAGGAAAAGAGATTTCCTTTTATATCCCACAGTGGGGAGATGTGAGCTCGTCGTTTAACCCTTAGGAAGCAGTGGGCTTCCTCCCTGATCGGCAATCTGAGGTCAAAGGTCTCACTCAGGAACCCAGAGTGGTTAGAGCCAGGGATACAGCAGCCTCTCTAACAACTGACCACAGAAGGAATACACTAGTGAAATACAGATACGGTTTTCGGTTCGGTATATGTTGATTGATAGCCTGACATGGTCATGTTGCTGTTAGCATAAACAAACCGTGTTGCACAATGCTTGCACACTGTTGCACTTTTATCCACCACTTTCTTTCCGCCGTCATCGTAGGTCACTCTAAATGCAAAGTGGTCCCATACAGCAGACCTATAAAGTGCTGCTGGCGCGTCTTCCAACTCCTGTTCTTTCCCACTCGCCATACCCACACAAAACTCCACAACTGATTTTTTTCTGCTACACCCGGCTACGCCGCTTCGCTTCTTCTTCTTGTTTACTACTGGTGGTTGGCTTTGTTCCAGTACCGCCACCTTCTGCTCTGGAGTGTACACGCTTCACCTATGAGAAAAAGGAGCAGCGCATGAACCGAACGCAACACACGCGAACCGAACCGAGACAGTAGAACCGAACGGTTTTCATAAACCGTTTCATCCCTAATGCAGATCTCTACCAGATTGAACTCTGACCCATTTAATACAACATTTCTATAGTTCTGCCTTCATAATGTCGTCCAGAAGGTTAAACCTCCATCCATCCTCAGGCCGTTTTCTCCTGTTTAGCTGCAGGATGACGCTGTCACTTTGCACATTTACGTTGCCATTTGCGTTCTAACTGTATCAAATGTCTATTTCAACAGACCAGTGCCTCTTCTTCTAACCGTTAGCCATGTCTACTGTTAAATGTGTGTTTTTTGCCAAAAATCTAAATTGTGACAGTGGTTTTATTTTGATTTTATACACGCCTCCCTCCAGGTTTTCACTCCCATCATGACCTCAAATGCTCTCTGGCTCAGAGCCGTCGCTGCAGGACTTTAATGTTGTATGAAAAGTCGGCTGATTTCAACCCACTTTAAGCTTATTACTGCCACCTATAGGGCTGGAGTGTGAAAGTTAGAGTCTTACCCTTGTTTAATGCATCAAAAACCATAAATTGAGGCCTTTGAGTTTTGGATTTTTTTTTTTTGTTAAATTGCAATTTTATTAAAAATGTAATTAACTGTCCTAGCTGATATTTCTATCTCCCACCATCTCCTTCCTTTAGAATCAAGTTCTCAGAGCTTCCCTCACCTTCAGCGTTCGTTTATTCTGTTCCAGATCGAAAACATAAAGGCAGCCATCATTTGCCCTGAAAAAAAAAAAAAAACACAGACAGGAAATATTAAATTAATTCCCTGTCATAGTTTATACGCCATTCCAATTCCTGCTTAATTAATTAAATAAATGAAATGTTGTCCGTCAAGACAAACAGCTGGAACAAGTAATCCATTCTTCTAAGCTCTGCCTGTCAGTCAGAGCTTTCAGACGAGTCGTACTCACCCGCCCAGGATCTCTTTGCCATCTGTTGACGCAGCCAGCGAGAACACGCAGAACCTCCTCTCATCTGGACTACAAAGCACACATACAGACACCATTACGACAAAGCAACGCGACTGAATCTCAACCACGCAGCCTTCAGCACCGTATCCCACACTAAGAACAGCTTAATGAGGTCATTCATCCCCTCCTAAACACATTTTCTACAGGGAGGGAAACTGACACACATAGAGGGGAAGGAGACTAAATCTGACAGCATCATTCATCCAGGTGGTGATGGAGGAGGAGTCGATGAGGCCGGCTGGTAGGGAATGATAGATTACCTGCTCCGTACTGTTATAAGTTACTATGAGGGGAAACACTAACTTGAGGTCCAGGGCGGTGTGGTTTTCACTGTCGCCATCTATACTGCACATATGAACTGTGGGAGGACACAGACAGAGAGGACATATGAGAGCAATGAAAGGATAAAAAAACACTGAATATGAGGAGAAAAACTGAGATTAACCATCCCTGCAGCAATATATTCTCACTGAACAAGACTGCTGGAATTAAAGAAATTAAATCTTAAATTGAGATAAATTATCCAACGCCTCTAAATCCAGGTTGGTTTTCTTTTAATCCTATCTTTATTCGTATGGGCCAGAAAACAAAAACAGGGACAAATCAACAGATATATATCAACCTGTTCTTCTTTGGCATTTATTATATGATTGTTCCTGATTTTTCGAGTATGAAAATGCTAATAATTAAATGTCTTTACAGAAAAAATAAATGTACCGTATTTTTCGGACTATAGACTGCACCTTGCTAAGAAACAAACAAAACAAAAAAAACGGAAATGTACATATATAAACCATAGCAGGCTATAAGTCGCTGATATCTACTGAACTGTTCCCCATCAAACCTGTAGGGGGAGCTCTACATATCAGCCCTGTAGAAAGGACGAAGAAGAACCAGCTCTTTATTTCAGCTCTGCAGGAGTTGAGCCCAGTCTCTTCATTGGTTTAACAGCTTTAATGCTCCAAATAAATGTCAAAATGTGTGAATTCGGGACATTTGTTCTCCATCCTGCCTGCTGAAAGCATGTTCTTTTGCTAAAAAAAAAATTTAGCCATCTTTGACTTCCACCCGATGGCGGTTAGGAAAAATCCACACAAAAGCCGCACCTTCGTTTAAACCGCATGGTTCAAAGGGTGGGAGCAAAGTAGCGGCTTATAGTCCTGAAAATACGATATAACTTTGAAAAAAGAAGCATTAACTAATGTTTTTCTCTATTAATTTAAAGTTTATAGATGCAAGTTGAAAACTGTATTTTAACACGCTGACTATTCATAGATTTCAGTTATCTCTACAGTCCGCCTTAAATCGAGTCTCCAGAAAAGAGATGCAGCTGAAATTGAATTTAATTGTTTTAGCTATCTGCACTAAATGCTAAACTCGGATGCCAAAAAAAAACAAAACATTTATTTAATAATAAAATGTTTTCTATATTATGACTATACCTAAATCATTACTTCACCTTTGTGTTTATTATAAAAATTAAAAGACCTATTAATGGATTAAATTGGTATCAGAAGTTCAGAAACTGGCCACTGAGATCTCAGCACTGCATCTATTTAAAAAGACCAAGAAAACAAACCATCTCACTGATTTGGAGCTAAATCTCTACATGCATCTTCCTTCCGTTTGAACATACTGAGCTGATCATTAAACTACAGTCATGTTGACAATCACTTAATAAAACTAATCTGTTAACCAACCAATGACCTTTATAGCTGATTTCTGAAACAAAGGGAAAGCAAGAGACTGGTCATAATGGTCGCAGAGCCTTACTGTAGTCAGACCAGCTGGAGTAGAGCACATGGCGAGTATCCGGAGTGAAGCAGACGTCCAATACGCTCCAGCCTACGTCACGGGCCTTCACCGTCCGTTGCAGGTGGAAACGCCCCCTGGAGGTGTCGTAGAGGCGGATGTTCTGGTCTAAATGGTCATATAGACGCATGGACAGTTAAAACCTAAATAATTGAAGGTTTTATTCTCTCATTATATGGTAGCGTTGTCTTTTAAACTTGCATTAGTGTCAAAAGTTTTGGGTTTGCTCCTCACACTAGTTTGCTAAGATTTTGACCCATTCCCCCAGACAGAACCAGTGTCACTCAGTCCGGTTATGAGATTAACTTGTTCCTACCAACCCTTCAGCCCTGCCTACACTTTTTTTTAATAGGACTGAGGTCTTTATGACAGCTGCTGCAAAACATTAGATCTGTTTGTCATTTGCAGACATGTTAAGGGTCTTTTATCCAATTGGAAGAGCCATTAAGCTAAGCTTTAACTTTCTTGCTGATATCTGAAGATACTGCCTCAGCTTTTCAGCATCATGTGCGGTTTTCATGATGCCATCTGTTTTTTGAAGTGTAGATAACTGTATGTAAACAATCCACAGTCTTAAACGTCAAAATTGGCTCATTTATTCCTTCTAAGGTAAAATTTGATTCCAATTGTTTTTTTTTAAATGTAGAATATTGAGAACCAGGTTTAAATTCAACATTAACAGTTATTTGTCAGTGACTGTAGCAGCACATCAACAGAGATGTTTTTAATGAATACAGAGGAAGGTGGTGGCTATATTGCATGTTTCTAAAACACCAACAAAATAAAACAGAAGTACTATCTGAAAGATGGATCAAAATGGAAAAAAAAAACAAAACAGGATTTTAAAGCCCCTTATTTACCTTGGCAGGCAGAGAGGAACATGTTGCCCTCCTCGCTGAACACTCCGCAAAAGGCTTTCTGTATGTATTTATCCTTATGAGACACATAGTTTGGCAGGAAACTGTAAAGAAGGACCAAAGAGAGCAAACCTCTGTATTGGGTGCATAAAAATATCAAATGGAACTGAATTTATTTCTAACTGATTCTTATTGTCTTTCCTTTGCAGCAATTTCTTCAAAAAACAGAAAAAGGGAGGTGTACTCACTGTGTGCGGATACGACTGCACTCCCCGTGAGAAAAACTGGAACCTCTACATCTGCCTTGTTCTCTCTGGGCAGAAAACAATGAACATTTAAAACAATTACCCCCCCCCCCCCGTTCAAAACGCTGCCCTAACTGGACTCCCTGTAAGTTCAAGGAGCGGTCCTGTTAAAAACCGGCCGTCTTAGGCATTAGTTGGAGCTAATTGCAAATGATTCAGATGCCATCTGCTCAGATTTTTCATTGGGTCTCACCTCTGTAAGCAGGTGGGTGAAACTGTGTCGCGTTTTCAAGGACGATGAGGCTGTAGCCAGGAGGACCTGCGTTCGGATCTCACTGCGGTCCACTTCTTGTGTGTCAGGCTGGGTGTCCACTAGAAAAAATAGCAAGACAATAGCTTTAAATAAAAAGTTAAATCTGTGTATCTGTAAGGAGAAGCTGCTACTTTTTTTTATAGCACAACTCAGTGAACCTATTTACATAATAAACAGATTTGATCATTTTGAAGGCGAGGACTTATTCTGCAGGAAGAGTTGACAGGAGGTTACCTGGCGGGTTGTAGCGGTCGCCCAGACGTCCGTCCCAGGCTCCGTCGCTGTCATCATCAGAGTCAGAGTATGACTGGACCAGCTGCAGCCCAGTAGCTTCATGGCCATGGACCACTCTGACCTGGCCCCTGCTCCAGCAAAAGCATCAACAATTAGCATCCATGGGAGACGATGCAATAAAGCTACGCTGCTGCAACAAAACAGGACTTTAAAAAAAGAATGAAATACCGCTTCCAAAAAGTATACGTAGTCCCAGAGAACATGGCTCAAACACTGAAAATTATATGGTTCTTACCAAGATAAAATATATAAATACATATATTTTAAAACTTTTAGACCGTTTATATTGTTTTAAGACATACAGGTGCTGGTCATAAAATTAGAATATCATGAAAAAGTAGATTGATTTCAGTAATTCCATTCAAAAAGTGAAACTTGTATATTATATTCATACATTACATACAAACTCATATATTTCAGATGTTTATTTTGTTTAATTTTGATGATTACAAATGACAACAAATGAAAATCTCAAATTCATCATATCAGAAAATTAGAATATTACTGAAGACCAATAAAAACAAAGGATTTATAGAAATGTTGGCCAACTGAAAAGTATGAACATGAAAAGTATGAGCATGTACAGCACTCAGTATTTAGTTGGGCCTCCTTTGGCCTGTATTACTGCAGCAATGCGGCGTGGCATGGAGTCGATCAGTCTGTGGCACTGCTCAGGTGTTATGATAGCCCAGGTTGCTCTAATAGTGGCTTTTAGCTCTTCTGAATTGTTGGGTCTGGTGTATTGCATCTTCTTCTTCACAATACCCCATAGATTTTCTATGGGGTTAAGGTCAGGAGAGTTTGCTGGCCAATTAAGAACAGGGATACCATGGTCCTTCAACCAGGTACTGGTAGCTTTGGCACTGTGTGCAGGTGCCAAGTCCTGTTGGAAAATGAAATCTGCATCTCCAAAAAGTTGGTCAGCTGCAGGAAGCATGAAGTGCTCTAAAACTTCCTGGTATGTGGCTGCGTTGACCCTGGACCTCAGAAAACACAATGGACCAACACCAGCAGATGACATGGCACCCCAAACCATCACTGACTGTGGAAACTTTACACTGGACTTCAAGCAACGTGGATGAAGTGCCTCTCTTCTTTTCCTCCAGACTCTGGGACCTTGATTTCCAAAGGAAATGCAAAATTTACTTTCATCAGAGAACATGACTTTGGACCACTCACCAGCAGTCCAGTCCTGTTTCTCTTTAGACGCTTCTGACGCTGTCTGTGGTTCAAGAGTGGCTTGACACAAGGAATGCGACAGCAGAAACCCATGTCTTTCATACGTCTGTGTGTGGTGGTTCTTGAAGCACTCACTCCAGCTGCAGTCCACTCTTTGTGAATCTCCCCCACATTTTTGAATGGGTTTTGTTTCACAATCCTCTCCAGGGTGCGGTTATCTCTCTTGCTTGTACACTTTTTTCGACCACATCTTTTCCTTCCCTTCGCCTCTCTATTAATGTGCTTGGACACTGAGCTCTGTGAACAGCCAGCCTCTTTAGCGATGACCTTTTGTGTCTTGCCCTCCTTGTGCAAGGTGTCGATGGTCGTCTTTTGGACAACTGTCAAGTCAGCAGTCTTCCCCATGATTGTGTAGCCTATAGAACTAGACTGAAAGACCATTTAAAGGCTTTTGCAGGTGGTTTGAGTTAATTAGCTGATTAGAGTGTGGCACCAGGGGCCATCAATTTTGAACCTTTTCACAATATTCTAATTTTCTGATATGATGAATTTGAGATTTTCATTTGTTGTCATTTGTAATCATCAAAATTAAACAAAATAAACATCTGAAATATATGAGTTTGTATGTAATGTATGAATATAATATACAAGTTTCACTTTTTAAATGGAATTACTGAAATCAATCTACTTTTTCATGATATTCTAATTTTATGACCAGCACCTGTACTTTCTCATTTTAAGTGTTCAAAAAGCTTATTTCTACATTTAAAAAGCTTAAGTAAACTGATCTTTCTGCAAGGAAAGATCATTGCACTTGTCTTGAGTAGCTTTTCCCTGGGATTTTATTATTATTTCTTGATTTTAGACATGCTATTTTTGCAGTGTACGTTTTTCTTTTGGGGGACGCCTTTTGCTAAAGTGAAGAATCAGCAGCTCAGTAATTAGATCAATGCAAAAGGTCAAATTTAGTCATTTACATTTTTCAAAAATCACTCTTAAAGGTTTTAATGTGACTATACATCCACAACCTTTATATACAATTGGGCAGATTTCATGCACCAGGCAAAGCAAGGTGATGTGGTTATTATTGTATAATAATAATAATTTTGCAGAGGGCTGCTTAAAATGCAATATTATTTGCAATTATACATCAATTGCGATGAGTTCATATCCTGCGTGTAACGTAATATTCAGTGAGTTGTAAAGTTCAACCAAGATCAGAAACATGTAACAACGCCAAAAAGTCTAAAGGTCAGAGAGATTCCTGGAAGCACACAGAAAAAAGAGGAGTGAACCAAGTGTTGATTTATAACAACTGATATCTTCCTTGTTTATTCATTTATAGTTATAGCCTGACTTTGTAATGTTGCACATTTGGATGAGAACATATTATAAAAAACAGTTTATAAATTGTAGCATAACTGTTTTTAGCACTGAAAGGTTTATTTCCTCCTTTGTAGACTTTCTATCTAAAACCAGGGATCTGCGGGGCCATAAGGGGCCCTTCTTCAGTGGCTATTAGCAGTGACAAAAAAATAACAGAGAACCAGCGAGTGGTTTTTGATGTATTATAATAACAAATACAAGTTTTAGAAGCTTCAGCAAATGTTTTCAAAGACTATTTAAATCAGATTAAGACTTTAACTTTTAATCTTTCAATTTTAATCCACATGAGGACAAAGAATCACTGAAATAAAACTTTAAATAAAATATTTTTTTCCCCTTCAGCTGACCTCCTTCATACCTAAAAAATTAAGCATACATTTGATAAATTTAGCTAAAGGTTTCTTTTTATCTGCAGTCAGAATTAAGGAAAATACATATTACAGATGCATTACGATATTGAAACTTAATCATACCCAGAAAAAATATTCAATACTCGATACTATTTTCGATACCGCAGGAATAAAAAAAAGCCAAGTAATTACAGCCGTAAAAACATATTAATTAACATAAAAATGACCTTTTTCAATCTCACCATGGAACATGCTCGCAACAGACTGAGAGATTCTATTAGTTGGTAAAAGTTAATAATAATATGTTTTATTTAAATTGCCGTTCAAGAAACCCGAGGAAACTGTACATATAGAGTAAAAAAAAGGGGGAAAAGCACAAATAGTCGGAATGCATTCAAAATACATGAATAAAAACAAAAATAAAAAAATACATAAAAATGTATTAATTGTGTGATACATTATTCTTTTAATAATCAAATAATCCAGAAATATCATATCCATATTCAGTATCAATACTACAGAGAATTATAATTTTATCCAGACACAGCGTTTTATTAACCCTAAGATTCTATTATAGATGTGAGAGGTCTGTTCTCTATGCCTCATGCATGTGAAAACCGCAGCCTTTCTAATTTAATTTTTACATCAAATCTAGAGTTTCAGGTGACCTGTCGGCCCAACTAAACTGACCTATTTAATATTATACGCACTATAAAATAACTATCTTAGTGTACTGCTGTGAGGTAAACAGTTATTCAAAAGACCAATTCTGACTGAGTGAGTCTGAATGCATTCGAAATACATGGATAAAAATAAAACCAAAAAAATATATAAAAATTTATTTAAGAGCCAATGAAAGATTAAATAAATATAAAAAAAAATAACCCAACAATTTGAAATAATCTTTAAGTTATTTGATGTATTACTAATTTAATAATCAAATAATCCAGAAATCCTAAAATTGCAAAAATATGCAAATATTATCTGTATTTAGTATCAATACTATAGCGAATTAGAATTGTATCCAGACACAGCGTTTCATTAACCCTGAGATAATATTATAGATGTGAGAGGTCTAATCTATATGCCTCATGCATGCGATAACCGCAGCATTTCTAATTAAATTTTAACATATAATGTAGTTTCTGGTGACAGACCTTCTTAATGTTATACACACAATAAAATACCTATCTTAGTGTATTGCTGTGTACGGAAGAGGATAAGGGCCACTGAAAAAATTAAAAAAGTTAACTGATTTTTACATTTTATTTCAGTTTAATATGGAAAAAAGTCAGAATTTTGACTTTGATCTCAGAATTCTGAATTTTTTTCTCAGAATTCCGACTTTAATCTCAGAATTCCGACTTGAATCTCAGAATTCTGACTTTTTTCTCAGAATTCTGACTTTAATCTCAGAATTCCGACTTTAATCTCAGAATTCTGAATTGTTTTTAGAATTCCGACTTTAATCTCAGAACTCCGACTTTAATCTCAGAATTCCGACTTTAATCTCAGAATTCTGAATTGTTTTTAGAATTCCGACTTTAATCTCAGAATTCCGACTTTAATCTCAGAATTCTGACTTTTTTCTCATAATTCTGACTTTAATCTCAAAATTCTTACTTTAATCTCAGAATTCTGACTTTTTTTCTCATAATTCTGACTTTAATCTCAAAATTCTTACTTTAATCTCAAAATTCTGACTTTAATCTCAAAATTCTAACTTTAATCTCAGAATTCTAAGTTTAATCTCAGAATTCTGACTTTTTCTCAGAATTCTGACTTTTTCTCAGAATTCTGACTTTAATCTCAAAATTCTGACTTTTTTCTCAGAATTCAGACTTTAATCTCAGAATTCTGACTTTGATCTGAGAATTCTGACTTTTTTCTCAGAATTCTGATTTTATTCTCTGAATTCTGACTTTGTTCCCCCATAATAAACAATAAATGCAAAAATCAGTTCATTTTTTTTTTCCAAATTTGCAGTGGCCCTAACCCCCTTCTGTAGCTTGGAGGTTATTCAAAAGACCAATAACTGACTGGGTGAGTTGTCTCATTGATTAAGAGTATGTTACTACTTCCTACATAAACAATGCAAACTAAGGAGCTGTAGTATTGAACACAAGCTGCTTTCTGTTATATTTACCTTCTCAGTAGGTAAGCCAGAACTTCAGCTAAGTCTACGTCCTCCTCAAAAGCAGACTGTCTGTCCCCCTGCTGCCTGTCAGCCGTCCTCCTGCCCCGGCTGCTGCTGCTGCTGCCGCTGCTGCTCTGGTTCGGTTCTGCTCCTTCTGACTGCTCTGCTGGGTTGCCACTGGAAGAGCCCCTTCCACAAGACATCCCAGAACTGGACTGAGAGCCCATAGACTGAGAGGGCCTGAGAAAGAGAGGCAGTATTATGCGGAGGGAAGGTGCAGAGCGCCGTCTATTGAAAGGAAATGAGGGGAAAAGATGCGTTAGGTAATCATCTAAACTCTGACATCCGCTCAAGTTTTTAGATTATTTTACTTCTTTAAACCAACAAACTTATACGTTCTGCTCAAGAAAATCTACCGTTTAACCAGAGGAGAAAATAACAAAGGGTTGCATATTAGGAAGAGTTAGCTAAAGTTGCTAACGATAACATTAGCTACCGATGGACAGTCCTCCTGACAGCTTCCAGCTCCTGCGGGGTTCCGAGAGGACCTGTCCGCCAGCTGGCTCCGGGTTTCCAGCCCGCTCCTCCACACCGTGCTGCTTTCACGGAGAACAGGCGGCTTGTTTTGCTAAAGCACCGTGTTTGGTCAGTGGACAGGCTGGCCCACTCTATTAATCGCCATGTTGTTTACAAAAGTGTGAAGGGGCTCTGCGCGTCACGTGACCAGCGCTCCTCTCGTCACATAACCTGAGAGCTACGTCACCACGACACCTCGCTGCTTGCAAGTACATCCCGCAATAAAAATACCATATGGAAAGCCGTTTTAACATAAATTCGGTTTCGTCTGACCATCCATATCGTAAATAACATTTTGCCTAGTAAAAATTCGTAAATTTTTTTAAAATTAGTAAAATGGGATTTAAGATATCTGGAATTATTATTCTTCCTAATCAGAATGTAAATAGAAATATCTTAAATTACCATTCCGGATAGTCAAAATGTGGTTTTGTCTAGTCAAAATGTATTTTAAGATATCTGGAATGTAATTATGGATGGTCAGACGAAACTGAATTTATGTTAAATGGGTTTGCCATATTAATAGGTGTTTTGACTAGTCAAAATATAATCAGAGATATCTTAAATCGCTAAAACGTCTAGTCACAAAACAATTAGAGATATCTTGAACGTAAAGGCGTTACAACCCTGTTTATGTTAAAACGGCTTGCCATACAGAGTCTTTTTGTACTTGTATCTCAAAAATGTTACTTATGGTTTCATCTGACCAGAGTACCTTCTTGTGCATTTTTTTCTTTTTACTTTTAATGGGACTTCTGATGCTTTCCTCTTTCCAGCCATAACCAGATTTGCAGAATTGAGGATTTAAGTTATCTTGGCAACAGAATCTTCCACCCAAACTGGATCTTTGCAGCTCTTCCAGTTACCTCTCATATGCTTATCTGATTAATGTTGACTCTGAAATATGCTTTTTCTCATAAATTATGACAGAGCTTTAATCATTTTTGTCACCTATATGTGATATTGAAAAAAAAGATGCAGGTGACATTCATAAAACTCCCCCAAAAAGACAAAAAATTGTCATATTTCTACAATAAAATTCAAACCCTATAAGAATTAAAAAAAAAAAATATGTTAAAGATTTTTACTTCTCTTTTACTTTTCAGGAAGAGTCTATGACTGAAACCCACCATGAGGATATTCTTCATCACTTGTGCCAGTAAGTATGGAGGGTTCAAAGGGACAAAATGACATAAATAACTGTATCATTAAATAATAATTGTAAGAAGCAACTAATCCAGGTCATTGAGTTTGATAGATAATATTTACAAATTAAATAATTTGATGATAAATCTATGCAGAGAAATAATAAAATCTTTATATAAGTGAATTTATTCTTTACAATTTTTTAAATATAATTGCTTAATTTCATCATTTAAATGATATATTTTATCATTTAATTGCACATTTAATTTAATTTCATAAATCAGACTTTAATAGTTCTTTTAATTGTTTTACGATGAATTGGTGAAATGAATGTATGGTACATTTAATCGTAGATTAATTTATTTCATTATTTTACGGTACATTTAATGATATACTTCATTGTTTAAAGATTTGTTCCGTAAATTGTACATTTAATTATTAAATTATTTAATTAGATTATTTAATTTTTTTCATGGGACCATTTTTCATTTCATAATAAATTTACATACACTTATTTTTATGACATATTCATTTATTTTATTTGATATTTTTTTGTGAAAATGCTTATCATGCACAAGTCCTTGTTGCCCACTAGGTCTCAAATGGAAAAAAATAATTAGTATTTCAGGACCAATAGTTGAAAATATCTGAGTTGATATTTCATTAGTAGGGGGAATAACAGCCCATTTGTTGGTTTAATGGATCCAAAAGTATATTGTTCCTGCATGAAATTATTCTATTAAACACAGCATAAGACATTTCTGCTGTCTTGATCACAGCATCAACTAATTTATGAGTGAATCTAGTCCAGAATAAACAAAATACTGAATTACTGAGGGAAAAACTCAGCATAACCAGGATTAAACAGGTTTATGTTAAACCCTTAAAGTCTTTGTGTGACTAAAAAACAAACAAAAAAAATGATTATTAGGGGTTCATCAAAGGATATAACCTGAATAAGTTCTTGCAAAAAGGCTGAACCTTTTTAAAGAAACTACTTTCCATACCATTTTTTTTTCTTTTTTTTTTTTTTGGTAAGGGCAGCTTAAAAGTCTTGAGGGCAGTTTCATCAGTTGGACCCAAATAAAATGCTCCAAGGTCATTAAACTTTGCAGACTTTGGGATGGTAACTCTAGACAGCTCAGAAATATCTGGGGTCTATTGGTGTCATTAAGACCCAACAGTACCGGTAAGCATTACATCTCCAACTCTGTTGCTCCGTGCAGGTAAACATTTCAGGGTGTGACCTGCCTCTTGCTCAATGGCTGCCTGGACAAGCTCCAGTAATGGGTGAATAGACTTTATAATTATTTCCTTTAATTCACTAAGAGCTTTGCTTTTGGTCCTTTTATTGAATAGGCTGTCCAAGGCTGGACCATTTTATTTTTGCACTCTGTTCAGCTGCAATTCTAACTCAAAATACATAGAAATTAAATACTTAGATTGGGATTTGTTCTAGTCCATTCCAGGTTTTATGAAAATCCCAGAGCAGCTAGTTTAGACTAGTACAAGTGGGTTTAGCTCGGTTTGTTTACTTAGTGCAAGCCCCAATTGTTCAGGAGTCTTTAATCCTGAGATCAAAAAGACATGTTTGTTCAATAGTGCCTATGCCAGCTTCATGAACCTGGGAAAGTTTGTCAATCTGACATCTTTCAATAGGAAATATTATAAATAACATGTTAAGAATTGCAGAGCTTAATAACTGATAGTTAATATTTTATGTCAGAACATTACTTGTTAGTGTAATTTAACAGTTTTGGGAGTTTGTAGCTAAAAATAGACATCTGCTTTAATGCATGTTTGCACATGATTATTGAAAGAGAAAAAACACATTTTAGTTTTGCACAAACATTTGAGAAAAATAAGGATGTATGAAGGATAGAAGTTTTGTTAATAAAGAGAGGCTTTATATCCTACTGCTGCTGCTACCTTAGCCCGTCTTTGACGTAAAAATAACTGCCTTTTCTCTATATTGTTGGACAAAAGGATGGATTATTTACAGCTGCACACACATCCACAGAAAAGTGCAGCCACAACAGACTGCTGGGGTTTTGTTTTTGACCAGCTCCATGGTAATGTCTCATACTAGCATTGTTAGCAGCGAGCATCCTTCATTCATGGTGACAAACCGGTTGGTGTGTTGGGGAAACTGTCATACTGACTTTAATCTGATTAATTAATCTAATCTTGTCTCCCTATATATAGGACAAATGCAGTAATTTGATTGATTGATCGACTATTGATCTGAGAAATTTACATCAGCTCGAATAGTCATAGGAGAAGAATGTGCCAAAGAAAGAAAAATGTGCATGGGATATATACAGTATATACATGTGACAGCTTTTTTTTTTTTTTTAAACCCTCTCTCAGGCTCAAATTAAGTTGTAGTTGCAGGAAAAAATATTTGGATATTTGGAGAAAATTATCATATGGGGTAGTAATATACAATTCAGACTTTTTTTTTTGAGAGAGAGACCTTCACATGTAATGAATTCTGGGATCTTGCAGATTTGCAACAGTGTTCCGGAGTGGTAAATTAACACTGAAGAGTGAATCTGATATGAATGTTAACTTTATTTGAATGTCACAAACAAAAATTTAACAATACAAAATAAAAATAAAAACTTTCTCTCGCAAAATTAGAGACAACTTTTTCTCAAACTTTTTCTCCACTGACATCTCAAAACCTCTTGAAAAGGCAGTTTCTGTTAAACTGTTGCTCAAAATGTAGGCAAACTAGTAGATAAAGCATGTAGCATCCATTGGTACCTGTTTGGGCACACGTTGCGAATCCACAACATTGAAATCGAGATGCCTCTGGTGAAATACCCAGAGGAGATCAAATCTACCAATTGGCATGTGTCATATTTTAACAGACATGATTCATCTTATGTAGTATTGATTTCAAAATAATGGAAATTGGTAGTGATACTTACATGAAATTGGTGCTTGAAAATCTCTTTCAGTGACACCAAGGACTCAGCCATGTTGAAAGTGAGTCAGCAGTGCTATCTGATGAGCTGGAGAGAAACTGTTTGTTGCAAATGGACAACTAAGTCCTTCTGTTGTACTTCTGAGTAACAAAAGCTCTTAAAATATGGATGTGGAGTAATTAGCTAAGTAGCATTTAGCTGTTGCAAATCTGCAACATCTGTTTGGAGAGGGTTATTAGCAGGATTATTATACAGAGTTATTGCACAGGGTGCATACCTGGGTATTTATATAGATGGATATTTATATATATATATAGTTATTGCACTGGGTGTCAAATATAAAGAAACCATCTATTGCAGAGGGTATTAAATAGTAATTGTACATTATACATTGCACAAGTTATTGCCTTTATAGTTTGGCATTGTAGAGTCTGTTGGCAGCAGAGTCCGGTCTGTTGTTTTTTTTTTGTAAATTCTTGTAAAACAATGGGAACTACATCATTGTCGATCCAAAATTTAAAAGAGCTTTACAACTTTGTGTTATTAAAAATAACTAAATTTTTTGTTACTATTGTTTGCAAATAAAACATTAAAGTTTAGCTACAGTAACAATAACTGTCTATGAGTCAGTTCAGCAAATGGATGCAACCAAGTCCATTTCTGTAGTTGCATGTTCCATGAAAGCAAAAAACATAGTTAGTAAAGGATTAATACTTTGAGTTGAACTGAACATTTTCCAAGAAGGAAGATAAAAGTATATAAGAATCAGTCTGAATAAAAATCCTCCAGACAAAGGGGTGCAATTTTTTTTCATTCTACCCCCTGTGTTTTGATACGAACCATTTATAAGGGTCTGTTTAACCTTAAAAAAGTATTAATGAATTATTTGAACATCCCTGTACATTTTATTAAGCTAACTTTACATTTTAAAAAATCCTGCAAAATTATTGCCTCAAAATGTTTGCGAAGATTCTCAGTCATTCAGGTCATGGTCATTCCAAAATAAGACAGTTAAAAACAATCCACTGGACTTAGTTTCCAAGTGTGAAGACGTTTCGCTTCCCATCC